CCCTAACCTGGGGCATCATGACTGCCAATACCCCACGTAACTGGTTGGCTTAGGCTGCTAACAACCAGGAGAGCAGAGGGGAAAGAACAAGGGGCCAAGGACCGCTGTCCCCACGCAGCAAATGCCAGCGGAAGACTTCCCTCTCACAGGCTGTGGACTCCAGAGGCCATAACTGGGAGATGCCAGTTTGCTTCAAATCCAAGCAGACAAAGAAAGTCAACCATTTTGCAGTCTTGAAGGTGATGAAAAACTGTAGCCAAAAATTATCAAGACAGATAAGATCTGCCATCACTAAGGCATCACTGCTGCTTTCAAGGAAAAGGCCACAGAAGCTGAGGAGGGGAAGCCTACTCGGAGAACATTCAGCAAGGCAGGGCTTGGCTCTCTGTGCTTTCTAGAGTCACCAGCCTACCACTATGTGAATTAAATCATGGTTCCTGTCAGACCCAGAACTTCTCCAAACACAGCAGAAGCACAGCCACCAGCACATCACAGAGGGTCAGAGACTCAGAGAGAGCTGCCAGAGTTGCCTGAGGCAAAGATGGACGGGATTTGGAGGTCTGAAGGGTTTCTGTGTTGCTGTTGTTTAACAAATGTGACTGAATTGAGCCATGGACTTGTTTTATCAAGGATGGCTTAGAAGAGAGACCACTCAACTACCGCTAATTTCACCTGCTGTTCTGAGGGGCTGGGCAGGAGAGAATGGGACAGAACTTCCAGATAAGCACAGTTGGGCCACTCACAAATGTCCTTTCTCCACGCTCCATGTAGTCCATTCCCTCCTTAAATCCCTATTACAACAGTCTTGGGGTGAGGAAGGGGAACTTGGGGTGGCCTACAGCAATGGTATGTGAAACAAAGAGGAAAATGTGAGAACAGTCCCAAACAGGGGATGTGGAAGTTGGGATACATAATCAAGAACAAGACCAGTTGGATTAAACTAAGGACATTATTAAATTTTCCACCTTGAGAATCATTAGGAAGAGAGCTGCTGGGGCCAGCGCTGTGGTGCAGTGGGTTAATGCCCTGGCCTGAAGCGCCGACATCCCATATGGGTGCTGGTTCTAGTACTGGTTACTCTTCTTCCAAACCAGCTCTCTGCTAGGGCCTGGGAAAGTAGTAGAAGAAGGACCAAGTCCTTGGGCCCCTGCACCTGTGTGGGAGACCTGGAAGAAGCTCCTGGCGCCTGGCTTCGGATCAGCACAGCTTCAGCCCTTGAGGCCATGTGGAGAGTGAACCAGTGGATGGAAGACTTCTCTCTGTCTCTACATCTCTCTGTAACTCTGTCTTTCAAATAAATAAAAGAAATCTTAAAAAAAAAAAAAAAAAGAGAGAGAGAGAGAGAGCTGCTGTCAGATGGAAAGCAAGTGAAGGGCTGGTGAGCCTAGAAAAAGTACACAGACCCCACTTCAGCCTTGTGTCTCCTGCTTTCTCTCCCAGAAGGGCCTGGCCACAGAGCTGCTCACCTTCAACAACACAACTCAGTGGTTATGGCTGCACAGGAGAATCATATACAAGAGCCCAGCCCCTAGGCAAAAGCAAAGGTTTCCCTTGTCCCAGGATGCAGCAGTTCTCTGGCTTGTCTTCAGGGCCCAGTGCAGCTGAATCCGTGGGGAAGCTGAGGGTCAGAACATGGAATGCAAGCGAAGTTCTTTCAAGGGGAACACTCCTCAGAAGGCTTTTGAAAACAGTGAAGGGGACCTGCTTCTCTGTCTTTTTCTGTCCTCAACCATAATTCCTTTCTGGTCCCTCTCCTGCATTGTGGGGCAGTGAGAATGGAAACAAGGTGAAAGATCATGAGAACTTGGAGGATGGTTGAGGAAGAGTCCATAATAATTCCCAATCCTGGCTTGGATCACTGAATGCAGTCACATCCAGGAACACAAGCAAAACAGAATATTCCAAGGTGTGTTGCTGTGGTCACATCTGAGTTAACCAAGTTGCTCCAATACAGAAAGCCATTTAGACAAGGCAGACGAGAGTGAAGGAAATAGAGAATGAAGATAGGAAATGAGACGAGAGAAATAGTGAAGGAGAAAAATGAAAGAAAGAAGGAAGGAGAGAGACCAAGGGGAAGGGAAGGTAATACACATAGAAGCTTGTGTTTTACAAGGACGTAGATAACATGAATTGAGCCACAGCTGCAAATATTACATCGTTGGCCACTAATGATCGGTGGCCTGAGCCTACTGCAGCAAAGCTGAGTCCTCTTTTTCAGCAGTCAGGTCTGGTGGTCAGCAATAAGGTGAAAACTAAGTACAAATCACTCTTGAAACTCACTTAGCAAAGCACCATTCTGGAAACTAGCCACAGTCTATCAGGAAGCCCAATCAATACCTTTCATACACATCATTTTTACATACTCTTAAGAATCTCAGAACATAAACCCTTGTCTAGTGATTCTAAAAAACAGTTCTCAGTAGCAGAACGACAGAGATGCTCTGAAGGCTTCTGAACAGGTTTTGTCTTGCTTAGACTGGTTATCACCAGTGTTACCCAACTGTCTAGACTTTTCTCTAACCCTAACCTCTCTCCTCTATGTTCGTTTTGTCTTTAAATTGCCCTACAAGAGAGAAGCCCAGACTGGAGTTCGCTTTCTACCACAAAACAGTGCATGAGCTGTGAACAGTACCTTGCCCTTTCCTGGCTCCAATCTCCTCGTCTGTGAAAATGAAGCCAGACTAGATGAGCTCTAAGAGTCCACACAAGTCTGAGATACTTACGAGAAAGCGCAAAGTCTTTCACAAACATAACCTATACTAGTCAACTCAGAGGTCAGAAATTTTGGCATGCTCTGTCTTTGCCTTAACTTCATCCTTAATATCCCATACATCTAGATCCTGCCTACTCTGAAATATTCACTAGGATTCATCCCTTCTTCTTTATTCCTGCTGCCAATCTCCCAGCCCTTATCAGTCTTTATCGTCTCCAAAACTATCCTATTTTTTCTATATAGTGGATTTCCACAAAATTCCATCTTCACTGCCTCATATCCCATCTCCCAGGCACCGAGGCAGAACTCCCAGAGCTCAGATGTTTTTACTCTGCTCTGCCAGACCTGCTGCTCCAAGGCAGATCGTCACTGGGACTGGGGTGCCATATTCCATGTACTTGCTGTCCTCGACATTTAAAACACGCTCCACCTACCTCTCTTTCGCTTAAAAAAATGACCCAATTTTGAAAGACCAAGAAAAATCCTGCCTCTTCCAACGAAGTTCCCTATGGTTTTGAGACACATTTCTTTTGTTTGTTTCTGAACTATAAATATGTTTGTGGTTGGTAACCAATACTGTGAAGATCTTTTATATTCTCTAATTGTTTAATAAATATTGTCTCTCCCAATTGATCATAAATTCCCTCAGATCATAAAACAAACTTTATGCAATATTTGCACCACAATGTTTGCTAAGCTGAAAAACTTAGCAAGAGCCTATAGACTGGTGGCTGGAAAGCAAAATCTTGGTTCCCTCTCCAGCCCTGGTAGATGGAATCAATGCCTTCCCAGGCCCTACTATACCTCTCTGTGTGGGTAAAAAGACCTCCTCATCACAGACTCAAATCAACCTCTGCTCTAGGTATAATTATGTGCTCTGGGTACACCAGTGCAGTGTGCCGACAGCTATATATAGCTCCATTCTTAATGTCCTGATCAGCCTCTGTGATAGCTACTGCTGCTCACAATGCCTGACAGGGATGGAAAGATAAAGGGGAGAGAGACAGAGGTAAGTGCCAAGACCAGCAGTAATCTTCCAACAGACATCTCAGTAGGTCTGCTTCAAATTAAACCCAGTCTGCTCTCAAGCCCCAAAGAGGCAGGGCACCAGGGAAGGGCTTTGTGCCCTGCCATGGCACACACACCTCCACTGACTAAGCCGGCAAGGACTGACCACTGCAAAGAAGCTTTGCATTCTTGAGGAAGAAAACAAACTGGGAGGCGAGGACTCCGGCTGCCTATCCCACTTTCAGATCCAGGGCCTCTGCCCCAGAACACTGTGCCAGGACCTCCCTAACAGACAAGACTCGTGTGGGTGTACTTTAGGTGTAGGGTGACATGAGCTGTTGGAGAACAAGCCCTATTCCCAGAAGAAGGCATTCCTGGCCATCTTAACCAAAGTACTCAGCAATACAAGCACAACCAAGCATGCCCAAACTCACCACCCCACTACTTCTGGCCTCTAGCCACTTCGGAACACATCTTTACAAAAATCCCCAGCCTTCTCACTCTCCCAGGCCAGCCTCTCTTTCATGCCTGTTCATTAGAACTGTTTACCCCCATTCTCTACTTCCAGCCACACAAACACGCGCGCACGTGCACACACACACACACACACGCACACCCTTGGACAAGGAGCCTCCCTCTCTGACTCATCTGCTGCCCAGCATGTTCATGCTTTATAATGCTCTCTTGGGCCCTTCCTACTTTATAGGAGCTGATGCTGCGGACTTCCGAAAAATGTTAAGCCATGTAAAGATGGCACTTGCCTTCAAGTAATAGAGGATGCCTCCACAAACTATTTAGAGTGTCCATGTAGCCAGAATGTGGTTACACCCGCTATTACAAAAACCAGGAGACACATTCTTGCACCTGCCTCTAAACTCCTTCCTCACAAAAGGCATCTGCTGCCCCTATTGCCAGTGGCAAAGAAAGACCTCAAACAACTGAGAAGTAGGTCTTTCTCCTTACCACCTCCCTTCTAGAGTGGCAAGGAGACGGGGAAGCAAGTAACAAACAGTTTTTTTTAAAGAATCAGTACCACTCTACACCCCCATGAGAAGATAGATAGCTCCTTATTCCAGGATTGCAAGCAAAGGCAATGTCACTTTCAAACCCCCCTCCCCCAGTTCCTTTAGTGGCCAGCCTCAGTGGCCCTGCTTTAGCATTCCACATCAGAGAGGCATGAAGCAACCGCACCCCACACAGCCCTGGAGGCAGAGTTGGGCAGAAAGGAATGCAGACAGCTTCCCAGAACTCCCGGCTGAGAAGGAAACCAAGGCCTTACCCACAGCTTCCTGGGCCTGGAGAGGATGCACGGGGTTCTCACAACAAGCACTCTGGCAACTCAGGGACTGTGAGGGTCTTCATATCTGAAAGCCCAAAGGAAAAGAAAAAGATGACAGTGAGTGGGATGACACCCAGGAAGAACAAGTCTGAGCTGGCCCTAGACGGCTTAGCGCAAGCAGTGGCTACCCCTGAATGTGGGCAAGGGTCTCAGAGAAGCCAAGCGGGCCTAGGGATGGGATACTTGATTCCCTTAGCATAAGCGCTGGCATCAGCTGCTTCACATGCAGCAGGCTTAATCTTCTAACACTTTTTGAGAAAAGGATGGAAACCAGTGGGGAAACCCAACATAGCATTGGAAAACCAGGCCAGTAAGCAGGGTTTTGTTGGCTCCAACGACTCTCAACTCTGTACTCTCCATCATGCCGCTCAGGCCATGAAACTTTTTCCAGTCCGACTGTTAGCTGTAGGTGTCCCAGGAAGCCCCACCCTGTTCCCAGAAGCCTGCATCAGGTAAGGCTGAGCAAAGAGGTGATCTTCCCCACAGAAGTGCTTTCTCCAATTTCTCACCCAAATTATGGCCTTGTGAGGCTGTTGTAAGATAAGCATGGGGTAGGAGCAGAACACAGAAAGGACATTATCAGAAATGCTATCCTGTTGCATGCTAAGTATCCACACAAGGGCATCAAAAGGAAATAACAAAATAATTTTGGTTAAAAAATTATTTAAGGGGCCGGCGTGGTGGCGTAGCACATAAAGCCGCTACCTGCAGTGCCGACATCCCATATGGGCACTGGTTTGAGTCTCAGCTGCTCCACTTCCCATCCAGCTCTCTGCTATGGCTTGGGAGAGCAGTATAAGATGGCCCAAGTCCTTGGGCCCCTGCACTCACATGGGAGACCTGGAGGAAGCTCCTGGCTCCTGCCTTCGGATTGGCACATCTCCGGCCATTGCGGCCATCTGGGGAATGAACCAGCAGATAGAAGACCTCTCTCTCTCTCTCTCTGTCCCCCTCCCCTCTCCCTCTCTCTCTGTATAACTCTGAGTTTCAAGTAAATAAGTAAATCTTTTTAAAAAAGTGACTTAAAACAAAAATTGCTTTCCTTTCCAAGGAAAGCAAAATTCCTATACAGATGCCATAAAACATACAATACTTTCCCTCTCACCTCATATCCAATCCCCAATTTGCAAACCCTAATCAGACGTTAGCATTAACACAAAATACATACTGACACACATAGACACACATGTCTATTCAGCCCTCACAACTTTGCTCCCACAGCCAAGGATGCAAGACTCCTTCCAAGTCCAGGTCCCTCTGGAGAGAGCAGAAGGCAACAGAGTTGCCTTGGGAAAGGCCTTGGCTGCTGAAAGCACTGGGGGGTGGCTTTGGACACCCCCACACTCAGGAAGAAGGCTCCGCACCTGGAATCTCCCCTGCCTCCACGGCACCAGTAAACTAGCTGATGTCATCTCTCTGGTAGCCACATGTCTGTCTCCAGCCCCTGGGATTTCACCCATCCTCACCTCAAAATTGCACAACAAGGGTCTGCAGCTGGTTTACTTCAGTTCCTTAGGGCCTGGTGCCAGTGAAGCAAAGGTGAACGACTTCCTACTTAGAGGAACTACTGGTTTCATCCCGCCCTGCGACCACAGATTTTACTCCCAAAACTAGACCAAAATGCATGCTGCTTTCTTCAAAGGACAAGACCAAAGACGAAAACAAGAAGAGCACCCTTGGGCAACATGGAAAGAAGGAGACAAAAAATCCACCACCGTTGTACTTCTCCGGGACAACATGACATCCACTGACTCCCAGGTAAGAACATCTAGATGAACCTTCCCACCCGAACTAAAAATTTTCAGTCACCCGGAACCTAGTTCACTTTGTAATTTTATTCGAAATGAGCCATTCTATTTTCCTGAAGTGTTCGCTCCACAATGAGATGCTGTAGTTTACGCACAGAGCACTGAGACATCTTCAGTTGGCATAAATTAGCAGCATATATATCCTACAGGAAATGGACACAGCTTCAAACTAGAAGCTTCCATTTAAGACATAATACAGCATGAATTCTTTCCTAGAATGAATTCTTTCCTAGACAAAAATGGCAGGGGGTTGGGATGGGGGAATAATTCCATTAACTCCACTAAACAGCATGTTTAAAGAATGTGATCCTGCCATAATTAGATCATGATTTTCAAAGTGAGGGAACTCTGTCAGGCTTTAAGCTAAAGTATTTCCTGAAATGACACACAGTGAAAATAAAGGAAAGAACTGAGGCAAAGCAGCCATGGCACACTCCAGCAAGCCCAGCTTGGAGACCTGGGCGTGGGAGGAAGGACCACGCTTTGTGACCGGGTTTCCCTTGGGAGCCCTTTTCTTCCTCCCCATGGGTCAGGAATGGCGTCAGCTCCTTGCACAGTAGCATCATAGCAGGGGCACAGTGTAAACAGACTGTCTTCACCCAATACTCCTTTATCAGTCACTTCTGTAAGTTGAAGTTTTTTTTTTTTTCTTTCAAAAAACCCAATATTAGACATGGTGGCTGAAAGCTCAGATAAGTTCATTAATGAACAATGGGGCAAAAATACCATTTATATATATGATAAGATACAAAATAATATCTCTGGAAAGTTAGCAATACAATCAAACAGAAAAGGAACCAAATTAAATAATTTTTACATATCTCGGGTTGTGGTCCTGGAAGAAGAACTGGATAATTAAGTGATGGACATTTTTATGGGTTTTCAAAGGTATTCTCAAAGACAAAGACAAGACTGCTGGTACTAACTCCGTCTCATTCCAACCCCAAATGTCTGCCCTTCTTCTTGGAAGTACTTGCGGTGTCAGGCTTATTGGCTACAATGTGGGTGAGCTTTTACCCCATAATCCAAGGGGAAAGGGGACCAGGAGGGTGTTCCATGAGGTAATGGAGCACAAAGGAGGGAGAGAAGGGCAGTGAAACAAGAAGGCTGAAGAGGACGTGAGTTCCTGAAGGAAACCTGAATTACCCATGATTGGTAAGGGATGTAGAAGCCAAGACAGGCTCATGAGTAAACAGGACTGGCAGGGAAGACACATTTGGGCATTTTGTGACAGTTACCAACTGAATCATCTGAAAGGACAATTCAGTTTCTCACAACTCTTATCAAGCCCCAAATCAGACCATTATTTCAACTAGATGAACACACCCACAGAGCGTACAGGAAATGCTCGATGTCTGTATTCTTGGAGCTGGCTGGACAGAAGTGCAGATCAGCTAAAGAAAAGCTACTACTGGGGCCGGCGCTGTGGTGTAGTGGGTAAAGCTGCCACCTGCAGTGCCGGCACCCCATATGAGCGCCAGTTTGTGTCCCGGCTGCTCCATTTCCCATCCAGTGCTCTGCTATGGCCTCAGAAAGTGATAGAAGATGGCCCAGGTCCTTGGGTCCCTGCACCAATGTGGGAGACTCAGAGGAAACTCCTGGTTCCTGGCTTCGGATCAGCCCAACTCCAGCCATTGCGGCCATTTGGGGTGTGAACCAGCAGATGGAAGACTTTCTCTCTGCCTCTGTAACTCTGCCTTTCAAATAAATAAATATTTTTAAAAAGAAAAGGAAGAAAAGAGAAAAGCAATTATTCCAGAGTTCTACATCACCTACGTCTAAGAGCCCCAGTGAAATAGAAAGCACCCTCATTGGTGATGTGGGGTCAGAATAGAATCAGGGCTTGTGGGAATGTAAAAAAACATGAGCTGGCTGGTGCCATGGCTCACGTGTTTAATCCTCCACCTGTGGCACCGGCATCCCATGTGGGTGCTGGGTTCTAGTCCCGGTTGGGGCGCCGGATTCTGTCCCGGTTGCTCCTCTTCCAGTCCAGCTCTCTGCTGTGGCCTGGGAGGGCAATGGAGAATGGCCCAAGTGCTTGGGCCTCTGCACCCACATGGGAGACCAGGAAGAAACACCTGGCTCCTGGCTTCGGATCAGTGCAGCACTGGCCACAGCGGCCATTTGGGGAGTGAACCAACAGAAGGAAGACCTTTCTGTCTCTCTCTCACTGCCTGTAACTCTACCTGTCAAAAAAAAAAAAAAAAAAAAAAAAGAGCTGAGCACTGTGGTGAATGTCACAGGGACTTAGAGATAAATCAAGGACTGCAGAATAGCAGAAAAGGCCTACATACAAGTCTACAGAGCCAGTGATGTAGCTCTTCTCCCCAGAGCTAGTCTACCCAGTTCCATGACTTTTTCTACCAAGTTTCAGCAGCCTGTGAGCCTCCCAGGACTGGGCACAGCAACAGTGGACGCATGTCCTCATCACTCCCCCGGCAGAGACAAGTGTCTCCATGCACCCATTTTAGGGAAGTTTCTACAAATTAATTGTGCCTTACAGAAGACCACAGGGTAGAAAACGACTTTGGAGATTGTCTTCACCCGAATTCATTCTGCCCTGGAGGAATCCAATGCAAATCTTTAGCTGGAAAGAAAAAAAGTACAGGCCGGCGTCCCAGCTCAATAGACTAATCCTCCGCCTGCGGCGCCGGCACACCAAGTCCTAATTCCATTTGGGGCACCAGATTCTGTTTTGGTTGCTCCTTTCTTGTCCAGCTCTCTGCTGTGGCCTGGGAGTACAGTGGAGGATGGCCCAAGTGCTTGGGCCCTGCACCCGCACAGGAGACTAGGAGAAGCACTTGGCTCCTGGCTTTGGATCACTGCGGTGCGCCAGCCGCAGCAGCCACTGGGGAGTGAACCAACGGAAAAGGAAGACTTTTCTCTCTGTCTCTCTCTCTCTCACTGTCCACTCTGCCTGTCCAAAAAAAAAAAAGTATAAAGGAAGCAAGATCTGATCAGATCCCAGAGTCATTTTAGAGGGGATAGGTATAAAGAAGAAATGTAGTTCTGCCTATCTGAGCAGGGAGGAAGGCTGTGTTTGTAGGAGCAGATGTTAAACCAGGTTTGCTTCTTTTCCAAAGACCTGCCCCTCAGAAACATCAAGGGGGCATCCTTTAATTCTTTGTCTACTTTTATTTCCCAGCCCTTATTGAAGGGATACCCCAAATACTCATCCCTTCCTTGCAAGAACACCATCTTTGGGGCACAAGAATTG